AGCAAAATGATGGACAATTTAATTAGCCCCAAAATCGTTTCTATATTACCTTTTTACATAGGATCGGTTTTCTTCGATATTTTCAATTAAAAGCGTTCATCAGAATGACGGCAAATACTCCAGCCCTGTTATAATGCCAATTTAAACTTATCATTAGGAAGCAATAGTGTAGCGATATCACTAAAAGTTACCGTCGCCCAAACTGTAACATTTCCTTATACATAATCTTCCTATTTAATGGCATAGACTGTCAAAACATTAACAACTTCATGTTCCCCAAAACAGAAAATGACTTTCCTGGAAAAACGTTTAGCAAATGTGATTAGATCATACACGATACCATGTTCATCGACTAAACATTTTTCAATTTTGTAGACATGGTTTTTTGGTTTTTGAGCATTCTTTGTGACAAAAAAGGGCGCCCATTGGAAATGGTATTATGTGAATGAATTTTGTATATAGTTAGAAGTAAGCAAGAGGAAAAATTGACAAAATTTTTAGGTAAAAAAATTAACTGAATCGCTAGAATCCGCTAATAATGTCTTGAACTAACTTAGTGCCACATATATTCTCGTACAGTTATCGTAGCGTGCTTCTGATGAGAAACCTCGTATCAAACTCAATGCGAAGTGTTGCTAATGTTGGTAGAGGATAACGTGAAGAGGTCTCTCTTCTTTCCATCATACCCCACGGATGTTCATTTGACGAATGGTGCCAAGAGATGATGATGATTGGGGTGTTATTGAGGTACCATACTTTAGCTGTACTCTAGAATTACTCCTAGAGTGGCAATGATCTATTCCATATAACTTCCTGGCAGTTGGAGTCGATTGCAACTCTTTGCATACATCTCTGTGTTGTAATATTCTAAACGCAGCACTTGAGGAAACCTAAAATCAAATGTAATATATCAGTTAAGAATGAAGTTAAATAGATTGGCTTGGATGGATGTGAAGTTGGCAGACAAAATGTTGCAGACAATTTGCCGAAGATACCCGAATGATTACTGGTGTCGACATCTTAAAACAGTCTCTGATTGAGAAAAATACAGAGCTGAGGGCCTGCAGTAATAAATACATATTAGCCATAAAGAAATATTCAATGGACGAGAATAAGCACACTCATAGGGAGAATCATTTTCCACCGTAACTAAATAATTCGAAAGGTTAAACCCTATCTCAAAATATTTCTTCCAATCAAATCACTTATAGATTATTGTATATTATGTGGTATTGAGGTAATTATTGAGCTAAAACGCATATAGTGAGTAGATAAAAAATATAAATTACAGTTCATTTTCACCTTGAAATTTTGTGAATCGAGAATTCGAGTATCTTTGATAAATTGTTTGCTTTATTTTGTCATCCAAGTTCACACCACTTTGACTTGTACTTCCCACGAATTAGTAAAAATCTCACAGAAACAAGAATTCAACAAACTTTTAAAAACGTTGATAAATATTCCCAAAATAGATTTGTACCTATTTAAGAAACAATGACAAATGGGTGTTGCAGACAATACTGGTCATCTCACAAGAAACAAGAACGTTTGAAAAAAGAATGCATTCAATTTCCAAGTGTTTGTACACTGATAATGTTTGATCCTTTTGGAAACACTGTTTTGAGCAAGCTCAAAAATTGACAGAAAAAACTGAAGCTTAAATAGGTTCTGATGATGATTGTTTTTTGCCAATGTCACTTAATGATATGTTTAATTTGTGAATAAATATTAATAACTTATGTGATTTGATAGAGTTGATTAATTAAAATTTACTTCAAACTTATTGTATAATCAGTGGACTGTCCAAATGTTCAAATATTTGAATAATACACAGTAAAAACTTTGTAAATAGTGGAACACAGATGTTTTTGATGATGACTATTTCGTTCATTCAATATTATCTTTCTGCTTACTTGCTTCAAAATACTGCTCAGCATGTTCAACTTGACTCTACTGATTGGTGTGTTTGGGTCAAAGAAGAGAATGAAAGTTCAAATGAAACCAAACATCTTTAAAATTCACAGAACAAATTGCATGAAAATTATAATTATGAGTAAAGTATATGTAAAACAACTTAATATTGATACTGGGCCTTCCAAATGGCTAATTGACTAATCTTAATAGCAAGAAACAATTATATATGAGCTACAGTTGAAAAGCACATTATGAATAAAAATTATAGTCATCCCTCCCTACATGCCTCAGGCTCGGTTAGTAATTGTTTACTTCTCAAGCTCATAATGACATTGTAACTGTTTAGAGATGGAAGATGTAAAATTTACCAATCATTCGCTTGCGGTAGATATTTATATTGGCGAAACTTGTCTGATGATGTCTTCAATTGATAGAGCTGTATTCCTTTGTGAAGGGAGCATGTCTGTAACCACCAAAAAAGCCAAACGATCTATAGATGTCAGAGCTTTCTTCCAAACCTTGTCCATTCATTCTACAAACATGTAAAGGAATTTCATAGTGTTTGGGAATTCATTTCATATACTTTCCTGGCAACCTTTGACTACATATCTGCAGTACTGATGTTTTATTTCTGGAAAATTCAATAATGCTATCACATTTAGTGATCAGGAAAGACTATCATATGAATTATTGAATAAATTCCATAATGTTCAACACAAATATTTTGAATGCTTGACACTTAGTTAACAAAGCTCTCTAATCTACGTTTAGAACACTGACCTCAAGAACAATTGCTGTATGACAGCAATGTGTGAATATCACAATATTAAATTCAACATAAATGTACATTTTTTACACTACATGGTAGATTATATGTATGTATATGATGATCTTTGATTCATTCGAATACAGACATTTATACTGCTTACTAGGTTTTTATATAGAAGAACTACTTTACTTGTTCAGCAAATGGACCATTCAAATATTATATAAGCATTAAAGAGTGATTTATAAAGTGGGGTTATTTTAGAGATTTCATGTTCAGCCAGCAAATTTGCAGTTACAACTATATTGTTACTGATACTTTTACAATATAACATTTGATTTTTAGTATCTCTGACTGAAATACCAGTGCTGTATCTATTTCTTATTCCAGTATGTTCCCATTTACTTTTTGTTTATCAATGAGGTCTATCAAAACTGCGTTATGATTTCATTTTCATTCTTTCTCAATAGAACTATCAAAATTAGATCTAAATCTATTTAAATAATGTCCTGTCTACCTTGTTATGTAGGAGAACATAGACAATCTTCTAGATGCCTTATGCACGGTTAATGTGTCCTTCCATTAATACAATAGTTGAATACTGACCACTAGAATTTGAGTTCAACAGAATTCTAGTTTGAGTAACATACAAAAGATGAATTAATTCAATCACTGCAGATGAGAATTAACTAAGTGGAATCTTATATTTTATACTTACGTATTGCAATTATATTAACTGTACACTGTCAAATTACGAGTCATATACATCATGCTAACAGTAAAGTATACACAACGCGGGCGCGGTGATGATTTTTTTCATTCTTCTCAAACTTTTTGAAAACACAACCATAACTTTGAACATAACCTCTCTTCAGAAAGAACAGCACAAATAACTCGCATGGCACAGCTAATAGATATACTTCATTAGCAGCATAGTCAGTAATAATGTTCTCAACTTATCAAATATCACTTTCTTATACACATGGAGACCAATACAATCATCCAGATGCGGTCTTGCTACTCAACCAAACTTTCGTTTTTCACATTTCAAATCTACACACTACACACTACACATCGCAGCTCACCGCAACCAATAATGCATATTTGGTTAGAGAAAAGTATCTCGTATCGTTCAGATATTCGTTCATAGATGGATCGCGCTCACAATGACCCAAGTGAGCAACTGTGGAACGACTGTTTGCATCCTAAAAACTATCTGGTATGCAAGTTGACATTATGTAGTTTTTTTTACGTTTTGTAGGTTTTTTACATGATACCCGTGCCGTTCGACCTATGATCGTGGAATTTCACAAATCCACATGCCTCCATAGGTAGGTACGCTCCAGGAGAAAAAAAGAGCTCGATTGTAGACGTATCTTGAAAAGTGACATTATGCCGAATTTTTTGGCATTATGCTGTTATTAGGTTATTCTACAATCTACAAGATGTTAACTTAGCACTTAGTTGTAAGTGTTGCCTAAACGTCATGAGGCTTGTTATCAATCTTTGGCTTTGATGTGATGTAAAATCTGCTTCTGAGATGGCATTACTGGAGGTCTAAGCTGTAAGTTGTATGTGTTGATGATAATTACATTGGGTTCTTGTCTCAAATACACTTAATTGAGATTCAAAGCTAGAAATTAGTTGCGCATCCACTTTTTCTTATCCATTCCGGATATTACATATACAAATTTGCTGAATTTAAAAAATGAGAGAGATAAGAAATAATTATATTCACTGTACACTGTCGAATTACAAGCCATATACATGCTAACAGAAATTACACACAACGCGGGCGCGGTGATGATTTCCCGTAATTCTCCTATTTTTAGTAATTTATAATTTTGAACATAACCTCTCTTCTGAAAGCACAACAGATAAATAACCCGTCATATTCGGCATATTCAGTAATGATTTTCTCAGACAACAAATATCATTGATTTTATACTCGTGCAGACCAATTACACATAATCATCCAGATGCGATCTTGTATTCAACCAACTTTCTTCTCAGAGATAAAAACTACAGACCCGGATCACTCAGTCACACAAAACTATGCAACCAATAATGCTAAATGCTAATGCGTAGTTTAGTTGAGTGATTCCTCCATAGATGGAAGTTCACAACGATCCTAGTGAGCAAACGTGGAATGACTGTTTGCGCCCTAAAAACTACCAAGTCTGCAAGTTGACATCTTACAGTTTTTTTTTTTGACGTTTTATAGGTTTCTTACATGATACCCATGCCGATACTTGCGTTTCGACAAATTCTAGTAAGTGTTTTGCATGACATTACATCAATGTAATGCTAAACGCGCGTTTTTTTGCCGCGCGACAATCCGAAAATATTCGCCCGCGTGCACCGGCAGCCAGTAGTACCCATTTCCACATTATCTCATATCTCTTCTGTTTGGTGCCACAGATGTTATACATATTCCCCTTCCGTCTGGTTCTGTTGTGAGTAACCTTGACTCCGGGTGACACAAGTTGAAATTTGAATATTTTCTTACTGATTAGGCGAAGAGGCATTGGTACTTGATGAGTGCAAGATCAGGCATCGTGTCAATGAATTTTACAAAACATTGCACAATTCTAGCTAATACCAAATATACTTTTGCAAATATTTGCAAATTGAATGAATGCTCCATCTCCCACCTCACATTACTTGCGTCATGCGCTGGGCGGGCGCTGACCAGGCGATGACGCTTGCTACCAAAGAACGCTACAGCGGAGTATTTGTTCCTCCGCATGTTCAATGAGATCCACCATATTTTAGTTGATTTTAATGAAAGTACGGCACGACAACGTTCGGTTTTATAACAAGAATCAAGTCTTCATCCGTATTTTTGAAGTATTCAAACTGACAAATTCTAATATTGCTTAAAAGACCAAAAAATTGTAAATTATCTCTTGAACTGTCTTGGCGGGGAAACCGCAGTTCCACGCCCGCACTTCGCGTCACGCCAGTCATCGGCCGGAGCCCTCTACAACGTTGCCAGCCTATCTAAAAATTCAATGTGTGGAATCTGCTATCTGGGAAGCCTTATGGTATAGATATTTTTTTGCTTTCTGTTTGTCATCGTTGTCTTAACAGTCATGGTTACTAGATTTGTGCATATGATCATTTATATTGTTTATAATAAATTTAATAATATTTCTGGAACGCAGGATCTTTTATATGATAAAATCGATTCTTGCTTAATTTGATAAAATAAGTTATTTTTGAGACAAAAAGACTAGGTATCTTAACGGTGATGGCACTGATTCCGGTAATGAAAATTTGTGATTATTGATCCGAAAAATTCACGGATCTCAATTGGCAATTTGACCATTTCCGAGATTATGCGGTACTAATAGGCATACTATATTTTCAGTCTAGGCTTAGAATAATATAACTGTCATAATAAACCTCAACACCCAAGTTATGGAGTTAAAAAATAATAGCCATCATGTCGTTGGCTCCTAGCCTAGATATCGAATAAAAATGGACCACTAGCATCTGTAAATTATCTCTACTGGATATTTTAAGAACACGGAACTATGTTGTAAGAGTGGCAACAACGCGTTCCCCGAACCGGCGGCAACCCGGCAACTCGACCGGCCGGCATTCGTGGCATGTAGACGACTTTTCCTTCAGCCTTCAGCAATTTACTCAGTTACAACTAGGCTGCCGAAGTTGGAAGACGTTAACGTCTCTGCTTGCCACCTTCGTTATCTTAAGAATGTATACAAAGTTCTCGGCGACTCTTAAGGATTGTGGTATTAATAATACAATCTCATATTTCGTCCCTTCGAGTGTATTCTTCTCGTTTTACACACCGTGCGTGCGGAAAAAACTGTCGATTTAAAAGTTGTTAGTTAACTGAGTGCTTTTTCATATACCTCACTCACAGCTTTACGGTAAGTTATCATTGTGCTGCATGAAATTACCACTATAACAGTAGATTTACTCCGGCAGGTTTGTCAAACAGTATTGTTGAGTTTTTATTAGAACTGTCGAACCGGCATCTTAATGACACCGGCAACCGGCATTTTAATAACAAATATTTCGCATACTAGGTACTTATTTATATCTTACGATCAACGTAATGCCAAACTATAGTTCAAACAGCAGTTAGAAGTAGACGTTTTTCAGAGTAGTCTAGACATTATTGATTTTGCCGCCAGTTGGTAGAGAGGAAAATCTGCATCTTATTGCACAACTTGAGGCAAAGTGTTTTCATGCATGTGATAATCATACATACGAGTACAGACATGTTTCATGCTATAATTATATTGCCATCATAGCAAGGTGAATGCAAACGGAAATACCTACATGAAATCTGACTCATTCACTAATTTCAGTCATTTGATCCATATTTATTTGTACATTGAGCTTTGGCCCAATATTAGAACTAAGTTTGTTTATATAACTAGTTCAAGGTTTAGATTCAGTACAATATTTTATTTGATAATCATTTATTTATATCCTATGTACCTTGTAGGTAGTTGCATGGTAGGTAGGCGCTATTTAATGTTATTAAATAACTGGAAAATGAAATTGCATGAAATTTTTCCAGCTGATAAACAATATTTGAAAATAAGTATAAGGGATATAGACATTATTTCGGCCTAGTGTCGCGCGAGTCAAACATTTTCCCCCTAGTTCAATATATCTTCCAGTTTATAATTTATCAAGATTTATAAGAGCTTCAAGGCATACGAATTTGGCGGGTGTCTACACCAAGATAGACAACTTGGTATTTCCTGATTTTGTTTTTCCAAGCATGCCTCTCATTCATGATATATTGTAATTTTTTATAGGGAAATGCATTGTTGTGTAACCGATTTATTTACCGACATCTTATCGGTGCATCCACTCATCAGAGTTGTTTTATTATTTTTTTAATTGTATGTTATTATTAGCTAATTTTTTTGTCGGTCTGACTTTAATATCCGTCTATAGCAGGATTACTTTTTGTTCAATCTAAAAGAATGTTGAAATTCAATATCAAGTCTGCACTTTATAATTCTTGCTGAAATATTTTGCAGTTGCCAAAATCCTAAAACTTCACTAAGCATGTGTAAATTCGTCACCCAGAGGCGCCATTTGAAATATGCAAAAAGTAAGTGGCAAGTTGTAACTGCAGGTCGAGGGGGAAATCACCAACGTTTTTTCTCTTGTTTTAAATTTAATAGCAAATATATAGTCCTTGGCTTGAATATGGGATTTTGGATGCGATGACCTTTGTTCTTGAATCCTGCTGAAATAGCCCCCTAATAAAAATATCTTTGTAATGGTTTTACATCCCTACATTATTGTTAACAAATTCCTTGGCAATTACTGCATTCATGTATATAATCAGCGCTTATGTGTAATTTACAGAGTAATTTAAATGGTACTCTGAAGTTACGTAACACCTTTCACAGATAAAAATTATCTTGGCGCCAAAACTGTCGAATACTTATATGATGAAATATTTGTTCAGAGTATTTGCTCGTTTTATCCTCTTTTTGAATGATGAACTACGGAATCTTCAAGGTGAAAAACGTAGATAAAAACTACCTAGATTACTGGGAAATGTCCACCTTAGGATTCTATGTTAGGGTATCAGTAGGTACCAGGGATAGGGCTGCAATAAAACTAGATTAGGGGGAAATGTCCACCTTACCATTCTATGTTAGGGTATTAGTAGGTACCAGGGATATGGCTGCAATAAAACTAAAATACATCTTTTATTCTCATAGGGCAGTATATCAAAGATGAAAATACATCAGCTTTACTGTAAATATTTTTGGCATAAGAAGTATTATAAAGTAAATAGAAAATATAGGAGTAGATTATCAAAGTTATTTATTTAAAAATATCCAAGAAAATTACCTGGAAGGACCTCAGAATAACAGTAATTGCATATTTTAATCCTTCACAGGGTAAAAGGCTTTAGAAGATCAATGAATACAGTGAATATAATTTAATGTAGATCATTTGTAGATTATCCATCCCTGATCCAAGGAGCCTCTGCAAAATAACATAACAATATTGCTCATGATGTATCTGAAACTGTGGCAATATATATAAAGCAAACAGAAAGGGGTATTTTTCAAACGATTTCTTTCAGATTATGGTTTCTACTAAAATAAATTGTTGAACACAATACAATAAAATCTTAGACAAGTGATGTAATTAATCTTCATAGAAAACGTTTCAGGGATGCACTAAAAATATTTGTTCGAAATTTTTATCTAGTTAGGCCAGGAATGGTTGGATTTTAGAAAATTACAGAAGTGTATCCCAGAAATAAGACACAGTTAAAAGTTCGAAGGTATCAATTTTGCAGATAATTTAGTAGAACTCAACAGTAGGTTCTTACCTCTCAGGCTAAATTTTTCGAAAACTCATTTTTATTTTGTCATTAATGTGTTATTCTAAAAATGCATTGGACATGTAGAACCAGTCCACCTGTCCCGAAAAATATTTTGATGATGCCCGAGATATGCGGAAATGGCCACAAATCGTAAACGTCATAGTGAAATAAAAATACGACCTAGAAAGATCCTACGACGCTGTCATTTTGTCCAGGAAATATACCTGCTGAGAATACCCATGTTCTTTGTCAATGAAAAAAATTACCTCCTGTAAAGGCAGATGGTCAGGGCAGCTGCTTCTCTCAATTATATACTGCGCTTGGCCCAAGCCAGCGTCTTGTTCAGATACTTACGAGGTTATTACTATTTCGTTCCTTTTTTTTTGTATCATGGGTGCAAGGTGGTGTGGGTATAATCGCGAGATGCGGGTTCTCACTTCAAAGACCATTTGTTTCCTTTCCGAGATGCAACTTGATTTATACTTTTTCTGAGATTTCATATCATAATTAGTGAAGAGCAACGGCGACGGAGAGTTAATTCGATCGCCTCACTAACGTCCACCCATTAATATAAATTGTTAGTGGATTCAAGACTTTTGGAAAAATAAACAGGAAGTCGTGCGTAGTACTGCATCTTGGAAAATGGAACTTATCTGGTTTCAAAGTTTTTGAGATTCTTGAGACTTGGAAAACGTAGAAAAATAAAGGTAGGACTAGGGAGAAAAAATAATTCTCACACTATAAAATGACGTCAAGTGACTGGCTATACTGGCGGCTTCTGGTATCTCCACCTCTCAAACTTGAAAAAAACATATTACTGTTTGATGAAATATGTATGGAAAATATGTAGGACTATTCTGTATCTCCTGACGGGCGCGTAGTATTACCGATATCAGAAGGTTCTTAATAAAATAACGTCTTTCAATGATACCAAACTTAGATATCCCCCCCCCCCAATTTTGAATTTCATTTCTGAAAATGATCAGGAGTTTCTAAAACGTCGAAAAATGAGGTTTCAGCCATTTCATTCTTTTTTGTGTTTTGCCTGAAGCTCCGCCACGGCAGTTCACATTTTATAACCCTCAAAACTCTCTCATCCTCATCAAAATCCGTGCAGTACTTTCCTTGATATAGACAGGTCAACCCTTCGGAAAATGAGTGGGATGGTTTTTCGTGATGAACATACACATGTCTTGTGACATCTAAAAACAGATTGTGTATCTCTTATGAGAAATTTTCTGTCATAGCAATTTTCAAAACTTCATCGCCAAAAATGAATTATCAGTGTGTCAGAGTTTTTTTGGTTTTCGTTCTTGACTCCGCCGCCACTGGACCGAATTCAAAAACCTATAACGCTTTTAGGTATGTGGCATGGTAGTGGTTTTCTCCAGAACTTCATCATAGTGTCGGTAGCACTGTCGAGTTACGAAGAGTCCAAACATTCCGGACAAACATCTAAAAACATCTTAATTTGAAAATTTTCACCAGCTATTCGTACATTATTCATATGCGTTGTTTTTGGTTGTTATCACTGTAATTCTTGCAAAAATTGAAAATTTGAGTTTGAATACTTTCCAAACACAAATTTATTGCAAAAAGATATCTACAGATTATATATCCTATAATACACTGCTTCAGGGCGACTAAAATTGTCTTTCAGAGATTCGGTCCGACATTTTCGAGGGTATTTTCCTTTCAATAATGTATTACCCGAATCGTATCTTGCCTTGTTACCGATGTCTCCCCATATAGGGATGGAGATGATCGATATTCCAACTTAGTCTTAAGAAGTTTTGCTACTTTGAAATTTACGAGTTATCGTTAAAGCAGGATTTTGGAGCAGCACCTTTCGATTTGCGCGATGATGAATATTCAATTTTGCAATTACGAACGAAAGTTTATGGAACTCATTCGGTTTATTTTTCTCGTTTGGCTTTAGTACCTGTGTTTAGATTCATTGTTTTTGAAAATAAATCTGCGCAAGTCCACTCAACTCTTAGGTTTGATTGTGGCTGATTTTGATTTCCTTTAGCCTTGACTTTTGGATGTTTGCTTGCAAAATATTTACATAATTTAGATTTTCTATGGTCACTGTCATGTGTTGGATGTATTTTATCAGACAAGAATAGCTCCAATATAAAGATGCCTGGTACTTACTTCTATCTTAAAATGATGGATCACCTTGACCCAAATTTTAAATGTCTTATCACGAGTGTTTTTTCTTGAAACATTCATCCAGATTTTATCGCAAATATTTTAATACACCGGCGGAATGTTTTAGCAGTTTTTTGGCAGCTATTATTTTAATCTTATCAAAAGAGACACATACGTCGTCAATACTTGTTCTCTTGGCGACAAGTGGTATTTTAAATATTATTTTTTGAGAGTAAAGTTAGATAATTTCTATTAACGATCGTAATTAGTTCTTATTCATTAATGTTACATAACTTTCTTGACAATAAGCATTAATGCGATGTGCAGTATTCGAGTGTTTCTTGTTGTTTGGATATTTACAGATACAGATTACCACCATAAAGTATTTCTATAAGCTACAAGGATGTCTTGTCTTTGGCATTCCATCCAATTTTAAGAAGTACTATATAGATTTTAAGTTTAAAGTCAACACTTATTTATCTTATAGGGAAATTGATAGAGATGTTTTCAACTATCCTTGATATTCAGAAAATAAGCGTTATCGATAGAGGGTCTTTTCGGACATCCGTAATATGAGATCTTACGCCATTAGGGATAGAGATACAGTTATCACAAAAAAAATAAAAGTACTGTGATGTATTTTATCATCCTGAATTTGTGTCTAACATTATTTATAAAATGGCATCAAATTGGGTAACTCTCCGCTTTCCTCGTAGTGACAGGTCAAAAAACAGTTTGCTTTTTTTCTTTTTTTGAATCGGTTCTTCAGTATTTTTAAATTTTCCAGGTTCATGTCCGTCAATTTCGAGATTCGATCGCACTCTTTATTCTGAAACAAGTTCCGAGTTAACTTGCATCTTGACCTGTGTTTTCTTTAACGCTCTGCAATGTACTTTTGCGGTTCGTAGGCTTTTGTTGTGTTTTTTAGTGTGTGTCTGATTTTATTATACATGCATTTACAGTATGTTTCTACAGCGTTTTATTTTGTTTCAGCTGCCGCCTAAGCAGCGGTAGACTTGAGCCAGGGCAACTTGTGATACTAGTGTTAGTGCGCATAAGTAGTTAGTTTGTATATAGATTCGTGAGTAGTAACAAAAATTAAGATAGAGTTGAACCGAGAAAGTTAAAGACCATGCCTGTCAAAATAGAGACTTGGGAATTCGATGATTTCCTGATAGAAGAGCTCTTTCCTGACGAGCCGATCATGGAACCGGTCCTTTCCGACGATATCTGGAAGAAGTTCGAAATAGACTATCCGGAATTAACCGGCATCGCTGAGATGTTACTGCAGGAGGAGCAAAGTCTCATCAACGACACAAAAGATATCGGTAAGATATTTATATTTTCATAATTTTAATTTAAAGTCTGATTTTCATTGTATGACTACATTCTGGGATCCCATGTACATTTTCAACCATCTAGCAGCAAAATTTGGAAAATGGGCAATCGGAATTGAACACAAACTTCATAATATACAAGATTGTATTCGGCGATATATCCACAGCCAACACTACCGAAAGTAGGCAATGGAGGTATTCTTTATTTAAATGAAGTTTAATAGCTGATTGGCTAAAACAGATTGTTTAAATCAATTTTTCAAGGATCATATGCATTATCATCGTTTTTTCGCTAGTGTATTGAAAAAATAGTATTTGAAATAATAACAATAAATGCGCTTTATCTGTACTGAAGCGGTAAAGTACAAAAAAAGTTAAGTGTCGCTACTCTTAGCGTCTATAAATTCGTACACTCAAACATTTAAATCCTCTCTATTTTTCGCCAAAGCATTCAGCCAATAGAATACGATTTTATTGTGGATACTATTAGAGCACGACCGTACATTTCATCTCAAACTGTTGATGTGCGATAATAGAATGAGGGTCACATTCTAATAGGGTGAGGATGGGTGCCAGAACTTAGTCCGTTTCGCTAGAACCTATTACGTCACAGCTTTGTTACTCTGCTACTGGTTCATTGTATGGATGAAAATTGTCTATTTGTCGATAAATCAAGGCATTCCATTTATGTTTTGACTTTGTGCATGAGATTCAAGATTATGAAAATCTGTCACACATAACAATCTGTTTTACCAATTTTGTATTTCTGTTTGTATAATCACTTTGAATGATAATTTGATTTTAAAATAATCCAGGAAGTGGTACCAATACTAATAATAATGTTTAATTTCCAAGCTGTATACAATCGTATATTTCATTCTTTTACAGAAGCGCAGCAGGGATGTTTGATTCCGGGTTTGACTCCGGTTGCGAATCCGGTTGTGATCTCGGGAGTAGTAGCCCCGGAAATAGTGACCCCGTCAGTAGTGACCCCGGCAGTAGTGACCCCGGCATTAGTAACCCCGGTAGTAGTGACCCCGGCAGTAGTGATCCCACCGAATAATAGAGGGAACAACACCAGCAACCCATCGGTGCAGGTCACGAGTGCCAATCCGCCAGCGAGCCTCCCAGCAAGCCCAGCGTCCGGTTCCCCTCCCTCATCCTTAAGTGAGATTCGCAACCATGACTGCATGTGGGCGGGAAGCTGCTTCTACGGACGTCACGGCCAGGGCGGTTGCCAAGGCTCTAGCGAAGGCGGTTGCCAGCGCCCCAAAGAAAACGGAGGCTTCCTGAAACCCGGCCCCGTCATGAACAGATGTCCGCCTCAACCGCCTTTAAACGCGTTCATAAAAAAGGAGGAGCCTGACGATGAACAATACTACCAGCAGGCACAGTACCAACATCATCAGACCAGCAGGAGTGTGCTCAAACCCGCGGTTAGGGCAGCTGTTAAGCAACAACAGCAACAGCAGCAACATATGCCTCAAACACCGCCCATGTCCGACGATGAGGAAGGAAAGTCCAAGCCATCCAAGGTACGTGACGTAAACATGTGGGTTTTGTATTTACCTTTTGCCGATCATGAGGCATTCATTTTGGGTTCAGTCATTCCAATAAGCCTATCCGTCACCCATCTTATTCGAGCAAATCACTCACATACGCAAAAAAAACCTAGCGATCCGATGTAGCTAGCATTGGGGAGACGATCAGGGGTGCCGCTGGAACCGGTAGGTATGTCAGTTCGTCTGAGAAACTGCCGTCTCTGCCATATTACTCTCCTAGGTTGATGACAATTTGCTCTTGCGAAGTATTTATTACCAAAAAATCCAGCCACTGACAGCCTTGATTGGTATTAATTATTCCGCACCCTTATTACGTAACTGCAAAATCACATGGATAGCGGTCTGATTGCCATACTTTTCACTTAGGAACTAGCTATCATTTCCTCATATTCAATTGTAGAAGCTGCGTGCTTTGCTTGAATGTCAAGATATTTGAGCTATGTGCTGTGGCTCTGTTGTGATGTAACATCTGCTTCAGTAATGGGAATAGATGAGGCTATTCATAGTTTTTATGGCCCAAGCTGTAAGTTCTAGAGGTCTTTGTGACATTCCTTTATAGGTGGCGTTTACAGTAAGTACACATGGCGTGGGCTAGTGACTACCTATTACACAAGTGACAAGTATGGCGATCATCAGGGGTATCACGTATGTTGAAAAGTGACATGTCTGTTTTTTTGACATTATATATGTGTTTTCTGACACTATGTAGATTTTCATATGTCAACTCGGAACTAGCTGTTGTTCACTTGATGTGCACTGTACGTGTTACCTAAACGTCATTTTTTTGCGTTGCCAAGTAGAAAATGCAAGATGTGAAGCACTACGAAAATGTTTTGTGTGTGTGATGCGTCAATGCGTCATTCCTATTTTTCTGTGATGTGACCTTTAGGATAAATGAGTATATTTAGTTTTTAAAATAAACCCTTAGATATAATTTCGAACATAACCTCTCTTCAGAAAGGACAACACAAATAATCCGTCTGACACAGCTAATAGATATACTTCATGGGCGGTATATTAAGTAATAGTTTTATACACATGCAGACCAATATATACAATCACCACACAATCATCCAGATGCTACCAAACTAATTTTTATTTCTTTCACATCTTCTCAGATATACATATATACTCTACAGACTCTCTACTATCTCGGCATTCTGCAACCAACAATGCATGCTGACATGTCTTTCCTCTATTGATGACTCTCGTTTTTTTTATTTTGCATAATATGTGTCCTAGGACCGTTAACCGTGATCTGTTGTCACATGGGATTGTTGACTGCGCTTTTGACACTTTCAACAAGTTCATGACTTTAGAATATTTCAATAGCTTATGGCAGTTGAATAAATAAAAAGATATGCATTCATTATATAAGTACCTCGACAAACTTAAGAAGAAGGTAGGCTTGGGACTAACCTCCCAAATAACAAAAACTTATATAAACGTGTCACCGTTTTTGAGATATTGAATTTTAAAAAACGAACCTTTTCATCCGTGGTCTTCAGCTGCATGTACAAATAAGGTTATACTTTGTTCATTTTTTCTATAAAATACTTCTAGATAGTTGCTTTTTCATATACAAATGCAATGTAGTTAAAAGATATTAAGGAACCATGAGAAAATAAGGACTGTTTTGCGATTTATAAACCTTCTGATATTGTTTCCTCAACTTTCATAAAATCATATCAGGAGCAGGTAATAATAATATAGCTTTGTACTATTTAGCATGTCAGTAGTGATCGGTAACCAGTGCAACTTGAATTTAAATCCAATAATTACATTGTAGTGTGTGTCAGTCACTTACAAAAGCAACTATCACTTTTTTCTATTCCAAATAGTACGTGTGGTGTCTTTCTGAAATCTGTATTCAATGAGCAATCTTTTTATTCAGTATAATGCAGTTATATCCCAGTATATTTTTGTTTCACCACAGATGGCCAAAGTTGAGGAAAAAATATCAGAAGGTTATAAATCCCAAAATAGTCCTTATTTGATCATGGTTCCTTAATATATTTTACTACATTGCATTTATATATGATAAAGCAACTATCTAGAATTTATATTTTATTACAACTGGTAGTATTAATATTTTTTTGCGATTCATAATGACGTGATACCAAACATACATTATAAGAAATAAATATACACAAACACTGAATATTGAGAACAAAATAATATATTTTTTAGGCAACAAGTAATATTCCTATGTACGCATTATGATTGAACAGCAAAACAAATTATGCATTCTTCTAAAATAGAATACAACAAGTCAAAAATATCTGACTGAATAGAAAAATATAGGAAAACAAAAAGTAATTTCTTGATGAAATAACCCATAAACAACACATAGAATTAGACTTTCTACTGAGATACTAAAAGCCACAAACCAATAGTATAATAAATGAATATCTAAAAATTCTAAAAGGTAGCCAATCTAGTATAGTTTCAATCCTGATTAGAGTCATGATCACTGTCTGAGGAACTGTCATTGCTATCACTTTCACCTCCTATGTTGATTATTATTTCTTCCTGTATTTCTTGAATGAGACTGTCTTTTTCCCAATATTCATCTTCAATTTTTATAACATGTCCAATAACCTTTTGCCAGTCACTGGCACTTACTGAAGCGATGGCCTTATTAGAAATTTCATCTAGTTTTTTTATAGTAAATTCGCCGCTTGTATTATGGCTTCTAATGAAAAATTTTACTTGTGCCCAAATCATCTCTATGGGATTAAACTGACACATATAGGGTGGCGTTCGAAGTGGGGTGTGTCCGAAACTTCTTATTAAATTATCTATCTTATAATTTTTCTCATCAGATGGTGGCCTATGTAGACAAGCTATTTCATAAAGCTCCATTTTTTTAGCATTAGGATCATGCTCTATACCTTTTTTGCTCAACCACGTGATGATGTCTCTTTTTAGAGAAGATCTAGTTGGAGGCTTGTCTTCCAAAGCTGAATGGTAAGGTGCATTATCCATTATTAAATACTATTAGGAGGAATGTTAGGAAATAGTTTTTCAGTAAGCCACTTCGTGAAATTTTCTTGGTTCATTTGACCGTGATAATCACCAGTGGCACAGCCAGCCTTGAAAATGAGACAGGCTCCAGGAACAAAACCATCTTGCGAACCCGCATGAACAATTATAAGTCGTCCTGGAAATGAATAAATAGCCTCATTTTAGTGTTATTTAAGTTTGCCAACACCTTTTTGAATCACTATGTATAAAAAACATATTTTTGAGAAAAAAATACTTGCAAGGGATTATGTATTCAATTAGACAAATTAAATGAGCACTTATTAAGAATATTCCAAAATTGAGAAAAATGTATAATAAGCAAAATCGAGGTGAAAGAAACTTTATTACCTGTAGAACTTATATTGCTGTGTGGAGGTTGCATTTTGCCTGTCTTTATCTTCTTTTCTAATTTTACTTATAGTTCGTTCACTAACACCCGTATAATATGCCGCCCTTGCATTTCTAGCTACCAGTGGATAAACGAAAGTATTGTTAGCCGCTTCTGCATCGCAAGCACGTATCACGTTTGCTATTATTTCCCTTGCCTGGCTGTGAATAACTTTCCCATGCTTGAATTCCATTATCACCACTAAACAGTAAATTATATTTTCAAAGTATTTGCCAACTGCCTACGCCTATGGGAGTAGGTTTATAAATGACCGTGCCATCGGCACGTTATTCTAGTTTCAGATGATAAGAGTTTTGGACCAATCAGCGACCGGATGTTTACCTGCGGCCTGGGTTTTCCAGCTACATTGCCAAATTCAGCGGAACAATTCTATATCTTAAATGTTAATATGTATGGACCGCATTTTATGTAGAACATCTGACAACTTCGCAATTTTTCCGCATTCTTTCGGCTTGCAATCTTTCGCTGGTCCAACTATAGAAGTATTTTATAGAAAAAATGAACAAAGTATAACCTTATTTGTACATGCAGCTAAAGATCACAGATGAAAAGGTTCTTTTTTTTGAAATTTAAGAGAAAATTCAATATCTGCAAAAACGGTGACCACTTTTATATAGCTAAGTTTTTGTTATTTGGGAGGTCAGTCCAAAGCCTACCTTCTCAAGTTTGTCGTGGTACTTATTGCATAGAGAATGCTTTTCATGCGTCCAGTAATATTTTCAGTGAATATGTTCCAAACCCGTGCATAGTGACTGATGACGTCACTGTTCACCACCTGCATTCCTTTGCCTTACATTTTCTCGCTGGGCCGAGAATATTCCTGAGAGCACGAATTCGGAAAAGACGACCGCTGATGTGGAACCTCATATATAGTTTTTGTATCAGTTGCTGAAAATTAATGCACAATACAATGTTTTCTATAATGATATTTTAACTATATTTATAATAATAATTCAACTAACTTCTACATCACTGCTCGCAGGGTGACTTTGTGTTTTCACAAGTAATAGTTTGTTATAATCACTACAAATATTTAAAAAAAATGCACTTTTAACGATCGTTCGCATTTCTGCCCTTCGTTCGAATTATCCAAACACTGTGATCCGTCGTATAGGAGAATCTCACGCAATTTCATTGTCCATTTGCATGTCACGGGTCAAATAATTTTTTTTAAAAAAGGAAAATATTTAAGAGAAGTGAAAAGCATAATGATCTAAGCTAAGATTGTTGAGTATCCCAAGTCTCAACGGCGTCTTCTTTCTAATGTGAAGGTGCTGAGCCTGTTGACCAATGACCCGATCTCTCCAACCGAGTACTCCTCAGACACAGAATTGTGCGAGTACCTGCAAGAGGAAATTGAGGACGAGGAGGAGGAGGAAGAAGAAGGTGATGAGGAAGAACAAGATGAGGAAGAAATCAGAAGATTGGAAGCCGTAAATGCGGCTGCCGCTGTCAAACTGGAAGAGATGGCGGATAGAGCTGTTAGAGTGAAAGCAGCCGCTGAGATCGATCACAGCTACCACAAGGGCAAGGGGTCCGACCAAATGATGCAGGAATACCTGGGTCTCGAAACTCCTTCTGATTCCGGTGAGTGTCTTTTTGTATATTATTTTCGGTGTGTGGCTGGAGTCAAAAAATGTGAGGAAAAGTAAGTGTCATTGCTTGCTTATAGAAATGTTTTTTAGCTATTTTTGAATCTTATTGGTACCGTTAACATGGACTCCTGACTGAAATTTTAATTCTGCTTAAATACACAAATAGCACGGCAAAGTTTCTTTTGACTGGTGTGGATTCGACCTTGAACTCAGTTGAATTCATACGATTTTAGAAATGCCGATGAAAATGTTGAGTTTATATTGCACGTAATTATTAGTGACCAATTAAATTAGCATTCAATAAAATTGAGGTTATCTTATTTGAACATAAATATTCATTATTTTTGTTAAAATATTAGTGCGATCGTTCAACTAGTTGTGGTATAAGTTCGAAAATCATTTAAATTTAGCAAATGATTACAAATTACGCAGATTTTTTACTACACTTGTCAGAAATTCAATTGTTTATATCAATTTCGCTATTCATCATTGACTAAATCTAAACAAACTATGAATACAAACCACAGAATGAAACTATTTTCAATTAGAACGCAAATTCAGAGCTGTATTCAACCTTGAACCTAGTTAAAGTTTGTGTGAATTGATTTTAGACATGGATGTTACAAATTTTTAATTCCCGTCGCTGTGTAAATTATCTGAAGTTGAATAAATTTTTGCTATTTTCGAAATCGAGGTTATCTTACCCAAACATATATATCTGTTTTGCTTCAAAAAATAAGTGCGATTGTCGAAATTAAACGGTAGTGATAACTTTGTTAGAAGCATATAAAACAAATTAGCAAATCTCGGATTTTTAGGAGTACGTAAATATATGTTTAAACTTATCTATGACTCTGTTTAATGTACACTGTACAGGTTTGTAAATATTGTTATCAAATTAAATTAAACGATTTCCGCAGTTTTTAATATCCACATATATGCTGATAATCAAAAATGAGAGTGGATGGGACTAAATCAAAAAGGCGAATTGATGTTTGAAAATCTCACATTACGTTGATAAAATGTATCTAGTGTTTTTGTAGTTTTTGCGTTATACATATATGCACATACCCGTAAACGATCATTCGGCTATTGTACATCATTAATTACAACCTTACACAATGTTAACAAATCAACCTTATGTTAACATTACTTTAATTCAGGAAATCAAGACTGCCAGCATCCATTTCTAGATACGAATCAAAATATCGTTTGAAATATCAAAGGCTTTGGCTATCGTTGCACAAAAATCTAATCTAATTTTGCGAATATTTATATATCGGATAAGAAATAGTTGTAGTCTGAGAGAGACAATTACATATTATGCAGCTGAGCCGGTATGTTGATAAAAATTGGCACGAAATGTGGGTGAACTTTCTCGCGTCTGGTATACTTATTAGCAATGAAAACAAAAAAATGTTTGATATTTTCTTTTAGCAAAAGTTGATTGGCATAGCTTTATTTATTTTCGAGTTTCTAGTATGTATATATGGATATTTATTATTTTTTAGTACGTCATTGTGAGTTGTAAGAAAAATTAATTTTCCTAGTTTGTAGGCGATTTAGGCTACGCTTACTATGGTTGCGAATTTTGACGAAATTTAGTTCTGACGAGTACATTCGAGATGTTCATCATTGTAGGTATAGCAGTAGTAGTTGACACATATTAGTTAGGTCTTTACTGAAGTTACTGTTGTTAAATGGTGGAAAAACAGGGCATGCCGATCCTCTATTTTCTAGTAGTGATCACAAGGGAGGGTTGGAAAGGTAGTTACAATTGATAATTGTTGTCTCTCATTTCATCGAGAGTTTGCAACCATAGTAACCGTAATCGTAACCTATTCTCGACTATAGTTTGTGGTGTACTGTCTTTTTAAACTCGATGGTATTGTAGCATTTCAATAATAGTTGAATACGGATAATCATTCTAATATCTCAAACTTTAATCGGTTCGGGGTAAACACCTTTGATGGAATTATGAAAAATGTTATATAAACTTCACTGTTTTATAGGCTATGCCACCAAGTGGCTTTCAGAAAAATGTATTTGCATAATATCTCATACGGCAATAGGGAAAAGAAAATATTCTCATTTTCATTTCGTTTGATTGGTTATATGGTAAGAGTTGGTATATGTTCAGGTCACGTACTGCTAAAACCTCTAAATGAGGGATACTAGTTTAAAAGACATGCAAGAAAGACATTTACAGAACGTAGGGTTGGCGAGCACCAAGCAAGATCATTCAAAACTGAATTAGCACGTTGCTCTTGATTTCTAAAGTCAGATGATATTATCAATCCCAAAGATACTCAGTCCCACCACATACATATCCGGAATCCAATTTCACCACAAATTTCATATACTTTCAGCAACATAGTTTTGAATTCTCTGGGTTGGTGCTTTCCACGCATATGTCTTTTGATTTGGTGTTATAACTGTTACGACAAAATTTATTGACAATAAGCGTTCAAGAAATAAAGCTTTAAATAAGCTGGAAGACAATTTAACATCTTTTATCAGTAACGTTCGACCGATAGTAAAACTTACGATTCATGTGACAACAAATATTTAACTGCTTCTTGTTTCCGTTTATTACAATTCGTTAAAAAAATATATATGCATATATATTTATATAGACATACATATATGCTATGTCATACATAGCGGACAACAATGATTAATTTAAACTGTTGGTCAGGACATTATTGATTGAAGGAAGAAGTGTAAGTTAAATTTATGCGGCATGTATTTGATTATAATGCTTTGCAGTCTTATGGTACTTTCAGACAGATGGGATTGCTTACTGAAAAATGACATACTTCTCTTTGCTGGGAAAGACTGAGCCGGAGAGAAACAGTTAATCTTGATATTTCCGCCTTGTAAACAAGATATTTTGTTTATTTCGATCGGAAAATAAACTAACCTTGGAAGATTTATTGCTGGCACCTATTTGATATGCATAATAAATGAAGTTAAATTATAACGTCTGAACACTTCTGTAGTTGTGGTATAATTCGATTGATAGTCCCTAAACAGTTACACGTTTTTATGTATGAATGCATTTTGAAATTGATTGTCGTACTTGGAGCAACAACACCTCAAACATAAACAAAAATACTGCTTAGCACCTCCTACATCTTGTGTCCGTATTCGACTGGTTTGCTCAATGAGTGGAATGTACGATATGCGCCACGTCATGTTAATCAAGATAATGTCGCGTGGATGGAAATGACTTTCTTTTCGTCTACTGCACCTTGTCTTTATACAGTACCACGCAAAAGCAGTGGCTTAGGAACTTCTGACATTATAAAATTTTATAACAAAAAATAGGAAAATAATGGGCAAAATCCACAAAAAGAAGGAAAGTAGAATCGAGCAGAAAATAGGATAGGTAACCCGAGCGATACGTATTTCTGCTGGTTGGCTTCATCAGGCCCGAAATGAATGCACATATGCAACTACAAAAGTAGATACACATGCTCATACATCCGGATACGGTTGTAAGCTGGGGAAACAAAGATGGAGAGGGAAAAATCACACACGAAATCCACAACAAGAGCCATCCTACACATTGTAGACCCTTTGGGCTTGAAGTACCACAGCAAGTGGCTATACCCGGCCGCGTGGTTGTGGTTAGATGTCGCCTTGAAAATTCGAGGTCTTCTGGCCATTTTATACTATAATGCGTAGGTTGGCTCTTGTTGTGGACCTCGTGTGTGATTTTTTCCCTCTCCATCTTTATTTACTCAAATTACACCCGTATCCGGATGTATGAGCATGTCTATATACTTTTGTAGTTGCATATGTGCATCCATTTCGGGTCTGATGAAGCCAACCAGCAAAAATACGTATCGCTGGGGTTACCTATCCTATTTTCTGCTCGAATCCACTTCACTTCTTTTTGCGGATTTTGACCATTATTTTCCTATTTTTTGTTATATACCTTTCTCCGCATGATCATTTTCTCTTTATATATATATACAGGGTGACTTTGAACTTGAGTCATTAATTTTCAGATAATGATTGTAGAAGGAAGATAAACCAAAATATGTGTGTAAAAATAAAAAAAAAAATGTTACCTTGTTTTATAAAGTATCCTCCCGACAAGTATTTCAGTGCGGACCTGTATTTGATCGTGCGGTCTTGGAGCACCGGCATGCCCTCCCCTGTGAGGTCTTAAGTCACCTGATTCACGAGCCCTTTGTACTACATTTAGCATTTTCGTAAACATGTGCCATTTTTTATTTCGTTTGAGCCACGCAACAAACACCACTATTCACTCACGCGTTACCGACTGACACATCGATTGAATACAACTGAATAAAATTGTACATTGTAGTAAAAACATCGTTTCAAATTCTTTCGCTTTTTTGTTTCCGATGCGATGAACGGATAAGGCGGATTATATCCATTGTTGCCAAACACGAGCAAATAATATTATTATTGAGACAGGGCGGTACTCAAACTTCTAAAGGGCTATAACTTTATTGCTTTAATTTTACCAGAAAAATGTTAAAGGAAAAAACATTTCTTTTGATCAGATCTACTCACTGTTAAAATAAATGACTCAATTTCGAAGTCACCCTGTATATATATATATATATATAAACAGGGTGACTTCAAAGTTGTATGTACAAGAACTATTAATAAACACTGGAATGAGATCAGTCAACACTGCAACATATCTCTAGAATCTTTCACCAACATTATAACATTCCTTTTTCATAACAATTATTTCTCTTTCAACAACAAAATATATTCTCAAACACATGGTTGTCCTATGGGATCTGTTCTATCACCAATTTTGGCAGAATATGTCATGGATGATCTGCTTGACACTGTTATTCCGACACTACCCTATAACCTCTTCTTCATAAAAAATACGTAGATGACATTATTTTATGCCTCCCCTCCATAGGTCTGGATGGTATTGTCAGAGAATTCAACAGCTATGACCCCTACATCCAATTTACCATTGAAAAAGAAGATGAGAACCTGTCTGTCCCCTTTCTAGACACAAGACTCATCCGCACCAACAACAATTTATTGGTAGACTGGTACCAGAAACCTATGGACTCAGCTCGGTTTCTCAATTTTAGGTCATACCATAAGCTAGGGATTAAAATCAATTTGGTAAAACAGATGAAAACAAGGATAATCAGCATCTCAGATAATACTTTCCACACCTCAAATTTACATAAACTATCAAAACTGTTCATCAATAATGGTTATCCGAAGTGTCTGATTAACAAGATCTTATTTAGTTCACCTTCCAATGTTTTGCCGAACTCTGGTAATGCAGGTAATAGTCACACAACCCCTAATAATAACGGAACTGATGTAATTCCCAATAATAGCATCAATCCAAACAGTACAAGCACCAACCCAGACTCCAGACCTGGTTTTGCTGTCCTGCCCTATATCAAGGAACTGACCCCTAAGCTGATCAGATTGTGCAGTCCTTTGAACTTTCGAATTGCTTGCAAATCCGTCCTCACTATAAACCGCATTTTTTCAAAAATGAAAGACAAAGTCCCGCTGCTTGGCTTAACTAACACAGTCTACTCCATCAATTGCAACAACTGCAACCAAATATACATAGGTCAGACCTCCAGATCTCTTAAAGGAAGGATTACATCACACAAAAGTGATGCTAAGCTTCATCCTGAAAGATGCGCTCTAGCATCTCATGTTAACACAACAGGGCATTCTATGAATTACACAAGTATCAAAGTTCTTGATAAAGAAAATCACCTTTCCAAACGTTTATTCCTGGAAATGTCCCACATTTTCATGAATAACAACTGTATCAACAAAAAGACAGATATTAAACAACTGAGTGTCATTTACTCATATTTGCTAAACTGCGAAAAATTTCGACTTTTCAAAACCATAAATATAATCTGTGTTTTGGCCGATTCCACCAACAAATTTCATTCCACTCAAAATCTAATAATTCTCTTCTCACGATTTATTAATAATTGTTAATTTAAAATTCCCATTAATTAAAATATAGTTTATTCAACTGCCTCTGGTCGGTTTAATAACATTCTGAAAATCACATCATCTGAAGTGATTTGGCAACGTTTTGGCACACGCCCACAATTCGTTCCATCTTTCAACACAGACATTGACAACCTTCGGCCTTCTGTCAAAGGTTCATCTCACTCATTATTCCATGACCACCATTTTGTGCAATCATCAAGTGGCTTCACGACGTAATGCTCTAATGTTTTCTAAATAATTTTTAATCTGTCTTTAACTTGTCTTGTCATATTTTATATAATTTTAACCATTGTACCATGTATCCAGCTCTCACCATTTTACTGGACGTTTCCCTCATCCTATACGAAAACAACAATTAGCAACATCCTCACATACTACTAAGTTGATTCAATTTAAATTCATTTTACACTTTTGTTGCTACTGTTATCATTGTAATTGCAGCTCCTGATGATGATGGCAAAGTCCATTGAAAGCTAGAGAGAATTAAAAAAAGTATAAAGAGTCCTCTTTGCTTAAATTTTGTCGAAGTACCCAACAAAAGGCGGAAGCTTTAATTTTTCACCTATATATATATATATATATATATCCTACGCGGAAAATATTCATCTCACAAAAGCACAATACTTAATGAATTTAAATGCAAGTTGACAGCAACTATTTTTTTTGCGCAATATGTTTTCTTGTATTATTAGAAGTGTCATAATAACGGAAAATCAACATCCCGCATTGACCAGTTGCTTTTTTTAACCAAATTACTGCTTTTTTTAAAAAAAATTAAGTACACAGGGCTTCTGGTAATTCGCCACATTTCTTTCACGACGTGATAGGAGACCTAAACTGCATCAAATTTCACCCATATACACCTATGTATTGGCGAAAATCAATAGCCTTCGAGATTTCTCAATTTTTGTAATTTTTCAACAATAATTTTCGAATACTCAAGTGAACGTATTAGTTGATTTACAGTTTTTGTTTATTAGCATTACAAAAATTGATTATTATTGATTTTCGGCTATACATAGACTGAGCTTAGCTGCATATAACCCTGTATACTTGAACATACTTTTAAAAAAAAAAAACAGTAAATTGGTTAAATAAAAGAAATGGGTCAGTACGCGATTTTTATTTTTCATTATTATGACTTCTAATAATACAGGGTTTGTCCGGAGTTTGAGCCTTATCTTTTTTTACAAAATTTATTGACCGGTAAAGTACATAAACAATATCCTTCGAAGTAGCACACTCCTGCATCGATAGATACACTTCTACCAGCATGATTTCCGAGCCGAGGATGTTTCTTGGAACTCTTCGTCCAGGATGCTGGTTAGATAGACATTCGAAGTAGCTTGAATGTTGTTTATGGTGTCAAGATGCTGTCCCTTGAGATGTCTTTTTAGTCAAGAAAACAATAAAAAGTCGGCTAGGGCCAGGGTGGGACTTAACAGCGGCTGGAACATCGTTGTGACGTCGATTCGGGTCAGGTAGGCGGCGATGACAAAGGCGGTGTGGGACGGCACGTTGTCGTGGTACAGTTTCCATGACTTTGTTTTCACCCAGGTAAAACTACTAAATGCTTGTACTATCAATCCAGTGGCTTAGGGCCGTATCGTCAGTCATTCCTACAATTACAGGACGCCTTGGCCTCCTTGATTGTCATAGTCTTTTCTCTCTCTCTTCTTTTCTAGATTGCACCTGTTCCGTGTGACCGTCAGCGCTCTCCTATTGTGAAGCTATGTTTCCTTTTTCAATTGTAGGACATTTCAGCTTGATAAGACATCATAAATAAATTAAAAGCATGAACAGTTTGCTGCAAATATATATTTGTGACATAACCTCATAATAGAGCGCTGACACGGAAAAGTAGAAAACTATGAAAATCAAGGAGGCCATAAAGGCGTCCTACAGTTGTAGCCCCTTTAAAGTTAACTTGTATTTTTGTTCGATACTGTATCTTTAAAATGATAT